ACAGTATGTACCCTCAAATATTTTTAAAATTTAATATTTCAAATCAATTTAAGTATATAGTTTAGCTTAATATCAATTGTAAATTATCTACTATAAATGAATGCAACATTGATTCTAAATTATAACTATAGGATTAAGGTAAAATTTTGATGGAATGCAGTAGCATTCATTTGGGAGTGATTTTTAAAAATGTGGATTCTGGATCCTAAGTATGGAAGATTTGTGGTTAGTAGGTAAAGGCACAGGATGTAGTTTTGTTTATCGTTTTTGTTTTGTTTGTAACAAGTGATCGATATATCTAGTAATTGGAATAGGCTTTGAGAAACATGATCATGACTTGTCTTGAAGAAAAAAGCAAAATATCACCCTCAAGCCCAGTACATGATGTACTTTCATTTCCATGTATGGTACCAGAGGAAAATTTATCAGTGTATGGTATAAGGCATTTTTATTAATATTAAAGTGTCTAGCTAAAAATAAAATATTAATATTGAACTAGACACTGTCTTCTATCACCTTACAGTGTGGAGTGCGATTTTCCCTTGCCAGCTGACATTTGTCAAAAGAAAAGATTTTCCAATCTTGTGTAAGAGGGAAGACTATAACTGACCCTTTTTTAAACAGTTTTTTAAAAATTAATTTAATTTGTACATTTTAGATATACATTATGATCACATTCATCATTGGGAATTTGTACCTGTACATGATATACCTTGGTTCTTGTTTTTTCCCATTCCCTTTAACGCCTTTCCACCCTCCACCCCTCCCTATTTACAAAGGCTTTCTTTCCATTTTTTTCATCTTTTCTCATATTTTTTCTTTCCCTTCTTTTCTTTCCTTTCCCACACCCCTTGTACTTCCTCTTCCCCCTTGAACCTTTGCTTCCTATTTCACATAAACTATTATACATTTTGGTCCTTATTTACACTTTCAGTTTCTCATACCAGAGAGACAATTCAGTATTTACACATACATGTCCTTTTTATTTCACTTAAGAGTATGACCTCAATATGTATTCATTTAGCTATAAATGTCTCTGATTTTCCATTCTTTATGGCTGAGTTGTACTCCATTTTATAAAAAACCACATCTTCTTTATCCAGTCACCAATTGACGGGCATTTGGGTTGTTTCCAAGATTTAGCTATTAGAAACCATGCCGCTATAAACATGGGTGTGCATATATTGCTGTGGTATGACTCTTTTAATTCTTTTGGGAAGATATCCAGCAGGGGTATAGCTAGGAAAATGGGACTTCTAATCCTAGTTTTTTGAGGTATCTCCATACTGATTTCCACAGTGATTGTACCAGTCTACACTCACACCAACAGTAGAGAAGGGTTCCTTTTTCTCCACAGCCCCACCAGCATTTGTTATTGGTTGATTTCTTGACAGCAGCCATTCTTTGGCAGCAAAGACAAGGCAGGGCTAATCACAATCCTCAACTTGAAACTATACTACAA